TCGGGTCGATGCTGAGCTCGTCACTGGCAGCTCCGCAGAGGTTGAGGACGGCGGCGGCGGCGGTGGCGGCGCGGTGAGATCGCTGGTGTCCCTGCCCGCCTCCCTGCGGGCGTAGAAGAGCGCCGCCTCCTCGGCGGTGGCGAAGAGGCCGAGGCGGACTTGCTTGCCGCCGTCCCTCACCTTCAGCTCGTACTTCTGGCTGCCATGATGCTTCTGGCGGTAGCAGACGCCTTTGTAGCCGGTGTTGCTGCTGCTACTGGCGGTGAGGGTGAGGCCCTCCCTCTCCGCCTGCCGTATCGCCTCGGCGCCAGCGGGAGTGGGAGCGGGGCGGGGCTGCAGCAGCTTGGCGGCGTCGGCGCGGCCGTACTCTGACTGAGCGTAGGCGGTGGCCGCCTCTTCGGCGGTGTCGAAGGAGCCGAGGCGGACACACTTGCCGCCATCCTGCACCTGCGCCTGGAACTTGTTTTTGCTGCGCTTGTAGGACACGTTCTTGTAGCCAGTCGTGCTGTTCTTGGATGTGGCTGGGATCAGCATAACGCCCTCTGACGACGCGGTCCGAGGCGGGGCCATCATGCAGCAGACGCACGTAGAATCTTACAACAAAACTCCCTCGCACAACACTGGGCACGGGACTGGCGCGTAGAATTTCGCGAGTTTAACAATTGGGATTCGATTTGGATTGAGCAAGCACAACGCCCTCTGACGACGCGGTCCGCGGCGGGGCCATCATGCAACGCACGTAGATTCGCAAGTTTGACAATTGGGATTCGTATTGGAGTAAAACAAGCTGCGCGTGGCCTGAACATTTGCCAGGCAATCATCTGTTTTGGCGAGCACAAAAAGAAAAATACGTAATGCGTAATGCGTATGCGTGATACGTAAGGGGAGGGGGGGGACTCGGGGGCGCGCGGGGCGAGATACATAATCCGGAAACGTGAGACCTGGTACGTAAGGCACCCGCCGCGCGGGCCATTGCATCGTCCCCGGGGCAAAGCTTTGCGGTGAAAAGGACGTATGCGTAATGCGGATACGTGATACGTTGAAGACGACCCGCCCCTCCGCGGGCCGCGGCGCACCGGCGGAGATCCATAATCCGTATACGTGACACGTGGTACGTATGAGGCAACCACAGGGCCATCGCACCATCACGCACGCGATGATTACGTGTATGTATTGACGTTTTCTATTTATTTTTGAAGGGTGAGGCGTTCGACGGGCTGCGGAATGCGACGCATTTGGACTGGCAAGTGACGTACACGCACCGAGTATACGTATTCCCGAGAGGGCGTAATGTGATGCGTATGCATATGGGCCTCCGTGCATATGCGTAGCAGTCCTACTCACGATTGGGCGTTGCCGGGTCTCGCCTGTCTAGAGACAGAGAGTACGCGCTCGCCTGCCCCCGGCGATGACCGTAACATCTAGCTAGGTAACCAAGACAGCGCCTACCGGCGCACCTTAACACTTAGGGACGTGCCTGCCGGCAGCGCTGCCGCGCGCGCTGCCGCGCTCGCCTGCCCCCGGCGATGACCGCAACATCTAGGTAACCGAGACAGCGCCTACCGGCGCACCTTAACTCCTAGGGACATGCCTGCCGGCAGCGCTGCCACGCGCGCTGCCGCGCTCACCTGCCCCCGGCGATGACCGTAACGTCTAGGTAACCAAAGACAGCGCCTACCGGCGCACCCTAACCGAAGACAGCGCCTACCGGCGCACCTTAACTCCTAGGGACATGCCTGCCGGCAGCGCTGCCGCGCGCGCTGCCGCGCTCGCCTGCCCCCGGCGCTGACCGTGACCGATCTAGGTAACCAAAGACAGCGCCTACCGGCGCACCTTAACTCCTAGGGACATGCCTGCCGGCAGCGCTGCCGCGCGCGCTGCCGCGCTCACCTGCCCCCGGCGATGACCGTGACATCTAGGTAACCGAAGACAGCGCCTACCGGCGCACCGTAACACGTAGGGACGTGCCTGCCGGCAGCGCTGCCGCGCGCGCTGCCGCGCTCGCCTGCCCCCGGCGATAAACCGTAACATCTAGGTAACCAGAACAGCGCCTACCGGCGCACCTACGACCTTAACACGTAGGGACGTGTCTGCCGGCAGCGCTGCCGCGCGCGCTGCCGCGCTCGCCTGCCCCCCGCGCCCCCGGCGCTGACCATACTCTCGATCTATCCGATTAATCCGATCCTCCAAAAAGCGCGATTTCCCCAGTTTTAGACGCACGTGGGAATGCACAAGCTGACATCTCCAGGTATCTCGGTCCATCTAGGGAGGGATCCTTGCCCTTTGTTTTTTTTAGCTTGCATGAATACACCTCATAGAAGCGACGCTCCCCAAACCAACGGGCCAGACCCTTCCAGAGGGTGCCCCAGGGACGCCCAAAACCGCCCACCGCAGCGCCACAACCCTTAAACAGTACTCGGCACAACCACTCAAACTTAGCCTCCCCCGGAGGTGTTTCATTCACATTTTAGGGGCACCCTCCGGCAGGCCGCCCCCTAGGCGGGCCGCCGCTGCTCTAGCGCGCAGCAACCCGATGGGCAAGGGCCCCCTACCCACCCCAGACACCCTCGCGCCCTCTCCCCCGGCCCGCCGCGGCACCGAGGGCGATTCTGCGCGAGGGATCGCTGCTGCAGAGCCGCAGCGGCCAGCGGCGGCGCCGCCAGCGCCGTCGCGCTACCGGCCGGTGGCGCCGCCAGCGCGGCCCGCGCGAGGGGGCGGCGACGGAGGCGGCGGCGAGGGCGGCGACGGCGAAGGCGGAGGAGGCGAGGGGGGCGGCGGGCTGAGCGGCGGCGGGCTGGGCGGCGGCGGTGAGGGTGGCCGAGGTGAGGGCGGGGTGGCGAGGGCGGTGGCGGGCTGGGTGGCGGCGGGGATGGCGGCGACGGGGGCTCGGTGGCGGCGGGCTCGGCGGCGGTGGTGACGGAGGTGACGTCGAGTGAGGTGGTGGGGACGGCGGCGGTGGGTTCGGTGGCGGCGGGGACGGCGGCGGCGGCGAGGGCGGTGGCGGGCTTGGCGGCGGCGGCGAGGGCGGGGGCGGTGAAGGTGGTGGCGGCGAGGGTGGAGGTGGGGATGGCAGCGGTGGGCTTGGAGGCGGCGGCGAGGACGGTGGTGAGCTTGGCGGTGGCGGCGAGGGCGGCGGCAGAGACGGAGGCGGTGGCGAGGGCGGCGGCGGCGAGGGCGGGAGCGGAGAAGGCAGCGGCGGAGAAGACGGCGGAGGGGGCGAGGGCGGCGGCGGCGAGGGTGGTGGCGACGGTGGCGGTGGGCTTGGAGGTGGCGGCGACGGCGGTGGCGGACTTGGCGGAGGCGGCGAGGGCGGCGGCGGCGACGGAGGCGGTGGCGAGGGCGGTGGTGGAGAGGGCGGCGGCGGCGACGGCGGCGGAGGCGGCGGAGGCGAGGGAGGCGGCGGGCTCGGTGGCGGCTGGGACGGCGGCGGAGGCGAGGGCGGCGGCGGCGAGGGAGGCGGTGGCGACGGCGGTGGTGGAGACGGCGGCGGCGGAGACGGCGGCGGCGGAGACGGCGGCGGCGGAGAAGGCGGCGGCGGGCTCGGTGGCGGCGGGGACGGGGGAGGAGTAGTAGGCGGAGGCGGCCAAGGTGGCAGGGGACTTGGAGGCGGTGGCGAGGGTGGTGGCGGTGACGGCGGGGGCGGCGACGGTGGCGGCGGGGACGGCGGCGGCGGCGAGGGCGGCGGCGGCGAGGGACGTGGCGGGGAGGGCGGCGGCGGGCTGGGCGGTGGAGGGCTTGGCGGAGGCGGGGACGGCGGCGGTGGCGAGGGCGGAGGCGGCCTAGGCGGAGGTGGGCTTGGGGGCGGCGGGGAGGGCGGCGGAGGCGACGGTGGCGGCGGAGAAGGCGGTGGAGGCGACGGCGGCGTATGCGAGGGCGGTGGCGGGGACGGCGGCGGAGGTGAGGGCGGAGGCGGGGACGGCGGCGGCGGCGAGGGCGGCGGCGGCGAGGGCGCGGGCGGAGAGCGTGGAGGTGGGGACGGCGGCAGCGGCGAGGGAGGCGGCGGCGAGGGCGGCGGCGGCGAGGGCGCGGGCGGGGATGGCGATGGCGGCGATGGTGGGGGTGGCGATGGAGGCGAGGGGCTCGGAGGCAGCGGCGAGGGAAGCGGCGGCGAGGGCGGGGGCGGCGAGGGGGGCGGCGGGCTCGGAGGCGGAGGCGAGGGTGGTGGAGGCGAGGGCGGAGGCGGCGAGGGCGGCGGCGGAGAGGGTGGGGGTGGCGACGGCGATGCTGAGGGCGGCGGCGGCGACGGCGGCGGTGGCGAGGGTGGTGGGCTCGGCGGAGGAGGGCTCGGCGGTGCGGAGACGGTGGCGGCGGCGACGGTGGGGGCGGAGAGGGCGGCGGCGAGGGGAGCGGCGGGTTCGGAGGAGGCGGCGAGGGCGATGGCGGCGGGGGCGACGGCGGCGGCGGCGGCGGCGGCGGTGGGCTTGGCGGTGGCGGCGAGGGCGGAGGCGGCGACGGCGGCGGTGAGGAGGGCGGCGGCGGGGGGGGCGGAGGAGAAGGAGGC